TCATCTAGGAGACTATCCATGAATCACTACTAATTCCATGCCCAATCTGGAATAGATCTTTTCTCTAAGCTATCCCTGTTTTGTTTCTGAATTTCAATATGTACCCCCCTGTTCCACCCACTCTGAAGACAGAGTTTTCTGTACTGTTTTCTGTACTCAGTACCTGAGCAGTGCCGATGATATAACAGGTATTTAAAGAATCAACAAAACAAGACCTATAAAATAAACACTTTGAGTGTGTGGTTTTATTCTTAGTTGAAGAAAATTAGTTTAATTAAACATAGATAAAACCATACAGAGAAAATTTCTCTATTAATTTCAAAGAGACAGTGAAATACCTAGAGAAATGAGAATGCTATAGCTCTGGAATGTGACTCATTTCCTACTAAAACACGAAGATTGCAACTAACAGAGTTCAAAACTAGAATACAAAATAGTAGGCAGCGACTATGTTAATTCTTTAACATGTTAAAGAAGGAAAAGAACCTAGGGGGAAGGAGGGCAAGAAGAGAAGAATGGGCATTGGAGATTTCCTGGAAAGTCCTGGGAAGTTTTACAGAGTTAAACAGCTGGTATCCTCACATTCCATTGGGCGAATTGTTGCATTGTCACAGAGGATCAGAGGAGCCAAAACAAAGCAGTGAGTAAAGTAAGAGCAAAGTTTAAGTCATGCACAGAACACCAATGGTAGCACTGCACCAAAGAATAAAATACAGACAGATGTAATAAAGTATAGATATGGACTTTAGTAATTTCCTTCTAGAAGAGAAAGGAAGGTTGGGAAGGCTCAATGAATTTGGTCAAATGTAGGTATAAAGGGATCAGGAGACCCTTTACAGCCACTGTCAACGTGACACAAAATATACATATACATTCTGGAAGAGGGAACCTCAGGAGAGACAATGCCAACACCAGATTGGTATGTAGGCAGTCCTGTAAGACATTTTCTCAATTAGTGATTGATGTAGGAGGGCCCATCCCATCCTGAATGGTGCCACGCATGGGCTAGTGATCCTGGGCTATATAAAATGGCAGGTTGTGCAAGCTATAAAGAGCAAGCCAGTAAGCAGCACTCCAGGGACTGCATCAGCTCCTGGCCTAACTTCTCCAATAATGGACTACAAGCCATAAGACAAAATACACCCTTTCCTCACAAAGTCGCTTTTGTTCATGGTGTTTTATCACAGCAATAGAAACCTTACCTAAGATACTACCTTTAGGTATCAATTTATATTTTTATTATAAAAACTACTTTCACTGTACCAATTAATGAGGAATAAGGTGATAATTTGTAGCTTTTCCATGTGTTCCATGCAATGGAAAATCAATCATGGCAGTTAACAATTCCTACTTCTCAGATATTTTTAGAAGTGTTTTGATTAACATGAAATAATTGCCATACTTATGGAGTACACTGTGATGTTTCAATGCATGTATAAAACAGGAGCTGATCAAACAAGGGTAATCAACATTTCCATCTCTTCTCGTGACCTTTTGTTTGGAGCCTCCAATCTCCTCTTTTCTAGTTACAATACACAGACTACAATACAAAACCATAGCCACCCTCTGTTCTGAAGAACACCACAATTTATTACTTTTATCCATATTTAAGTTCCTGTTAGGCAACTTCCACCATCTTTGCTACCCGCAATCTAGCTTCCGGCAATCAGTATTACACATTTAAATCAACATTTTTTTAAATATCATCATGAGATGAACCATATGAGATTTGTTTTTCTGTATTTGTTCTTTCACTCAGCATACCATACTCCAGATCCATGCAGTTTGTTGCAGATGATGGGATCTTATACTTTGGTGGACAAATAATAGTTTAGTCACATATACTACATTTCCTATATTTGGCATTTAGTATTCTGTGGACATACCACATTTTCTGTGGTCACACTTTCACTATGGATCTTTCTAATGTTGAATATCATAACAACAACTGTGTACAGGCATATGTCTGTTGGTTATCAGCATCATTTTTCTTTCAGAAAATGCTGTAAATAATGCTGGGCGAATTATATATATGCCTAATCTCTAAGGCCTGGGTTCCATTTTCACTTATGGTGAAACATACTTTACCATATGCTAAAATTTTACTAATATATAATTTGTATTAGATTCTAAAAGGCCAGGCAAAACCTAACTATATTATGAGCATATAGAGGGAAAGAAAAAAATGTAATTACTCCAAAAGAAAGGAATTACAGTTGGGTAATAAATAATAACAAGGATAATAACGAGGCTTTCAGAATTGTCTGGAATTAAAAGTTCCCTGTCTTCCACTGCAAATCTTGCTGAGGTTTACTTCTTTGATGTTATTACAGATGAGACACTGCTGAGAATATGTGTACATGGGAACATAGACCTGAGCTCTCAGTTGGTATCAGAAACTAACACTCATGCCAAATTTACCTCATAAATATTCATCTTCTTTTGATCACACCATTAACATCTTTTTATCATATTCAATACCAGCACTGCAAATGTATACTGCACAAAATGTCAGGACTTTGTGCACTAAGCAATTAATCTAGAGAGACACAGAGAGGAAAAGAAGCCAAAGAGCAGTAAAATAGAAGTAAGATCATGAGGAAGGCATACTTGCAACACGTTTAGATGTTTGTTTGGGTAGGCTATGAACTGGCTATAACACCACTCATTCCACATCAGATACGGGACCCTAAAGATGACTCACTGGACAGTTAGGAAAATGTAAAAGGTACACCTTATTAACTTCTGGACATCTCATTTCCTACCCATACCTCCTATTAACTCGTATTACAAACTGTCATCAACTTGGAGATAAAGGATAATTTATGCTCAGGGTACACAGTGAATGTTTCTGTCCCCCTGGGAAGCAAGGGACCAGAAAATGAGAAAGTGTGCATGTGAAACCTGAAGCTATTCTGTCCACATGCATTGCGTGGTAAGCAAGGTTATGTGTTGACAGCAGGAATTAAGCCTTGCAGGGTTGTCTGTCAACTGGGGACTCTGATCTAAAATACCTATGGTCTGTCACAGAAAAATTCCTGCTCAGACGGTTGGAGCAGATCTTATTAAGAAAATAGTTTTTGATGCAAAAGAGGAAATCCAGTTTTCAGGGAAGAATTAATATGTATCCCATTTATAATTTTCCTTTGTCAAATGACAGATCAAATATATCCATCAAAGCAAATGCTATTTTGGGGTTTTCATTCACCAAGAGATTTGACCTACACTAAATGAAACATGCCAACATGCACTATAAAACCGTTGGGCACACAGCCTCATTCATATGCAGTAGGGCCCATACTATTGCACTTATGTTTTGAAAGCCAGCTTATTGTTCACAAAACCACAGAAAGGAGACTAGAAAGGGGCTATGAACTGATATACACCAAGTGACTGTAACTGAGCTGCTCACATAGCTTAGCCCCAAATGCCTAAAATGATCTTAGAAGTCACAGATGATTGCTTATTTATACAAGCTAGTTACATGAGAATCTCACGTGCATAACTCTGAAGAAAAAAAGAAAGAACTCACAGAACATAGTATGATTGCTTGACACAGTACTTTTTTAAAAGATTAAAATAGTACATTTTAGTCCCATGACTAACATAATGGAAGTGTTGTAAGTTACCATAAGTGTTGTTAAGTTACACTGTCAAAAAAACAAACAGCTCTCATAAGATGGTTTATTCTTTTTCTCGCTATCTTATATGATGGACAATCTATAACTCTAAAGGAATTTCAAGAAAATACATGTTCCCAAACTTAACACAGAATACTTAACATTTATGTTGATTTTACTAGTTTTTAATGTAAATGTATTTCATTGGTAATCTCATTGGATCTGTTTATATGATGAAGATTATTGCTATATTTAGATTTTCTTATGGTTTAGAAAAATCGCGAAATCTTTCTTCATTTCGGATTAAGAAAGAAAATATATAGCCTTAAATGTACTGACAGTTAAGGTGAAGCTGTGGATCAGTGGGTGTGTGCTTGTCTAGCATGGACAGGCTTCTGGAATTGATGCCTAGCACTGCCAACACAGTGCACCTAATATTCATATTACCTGAAATCAATGTTGTAGGTAAAACCATCAATATCAGGTAAGATTTTATATGTACATATAAAATAGATGTGTATGCAAGCTATGCATATGAATAAATATTTGACCCTCCACACACAACTAGCAACTGGCCATTCAGTTACACATTGCTTATGGATAATTACCTGCCTATGGACTATGACTTGTTTTAAGTGCTTGTCATATCTTTCTTAGTCTATTAATCCCATGAGTACAGCTGTGGAAAAACTGCTGAGTCAGAACCCTTACAGTATAACTGTATTATCTACCTTGCTTTTTTTTTTTTTATACTATTGCTATGAAGGTTAGGTGAGATCTTTCATATTAAAGTATCAAAATTATCACCCTACTCAATATTAAAATAACTTACATCATTTTCCATTTAATTCCAAGACATAACTGTCTTGGTTTTCTTGAGACTAATTCTGTAATATTTGAAAATGTTCTCCATTGATATTTTTGGCATTCAGATACTGATTATAATTCAGTTAATTATATCATGGTAACAGTAAACAGTATTCTATGGGACCTCTCTTTTGCATACTCCTTTCAAATATACATGCTAGTGTATGCACACGCAATAATGTGTATATTGCACATAATATGGTATAGATGTGAAGAAGACAACAGACCAAACAGTTCAACTTCAAGTATTCCAGTCTGAAGTTAAATAATTCTACATTTTTATTATTTATTTATTTCTGAGAATTAAATAGTTTCAGCATACATTGTATCAAATTCATCTTTAGGTCATTCACATTTCATATACACAGAAGAAAAACTGCTTCAGCGCATGAAGGTCACACAGAACCATTCAGGGATTAAAGTCCCCACACTAGCATTCTGCCCTTCACACTTCCGTCACTAAAATTTTCTTGCCATTCTTTTCCTAAACATGTTGTAGAAACACAGGGGGCTCCAGCCCCGAGAGAAGATGCAGGCTCAGCTGCTGTGTCATATGTGTGTCAGCAGGTGGCAGAGAGGGAGAAGCTATGTCTACTCTCAGTGTTCTGACCTATGAGCGTCTGAATAACTAGTAGCCTAACATTCCCTGTGAAAAGCAAGGCTGAGAAGACCATCAGTCTGGTGCCAGGAGGCCTGGACACGGAGCTAGCCTGTGATAACCACCAGTCTGGCACCAGGCAGGCCTGGAAAGAGTGGGGGTGGGGGTGGGAAGCAAGCAGAGACTAGAAGAACTCCATTTGGGTCAGCAGCCCATCCTGAGACAGATGGCCCTTGCAAGGGGCTACTCTGGTGGGCCAGGCCAAGGGCAAGCCTGAGACAAACACCAGACAAGAGCCATGAGGCCCAGAAAGGGAGCTAGTCAGAGATGACTACCATTCTTGTGCCACAAAGGCCTGGGGAGACAGACCATGCCTGAGATGACCCCTGCCCCTTGCCATAATGCACGAATGAGTCATAGCGCTCCTGAGACCACTCCTAGGACAACCCTAGATACTCACTGACTCTGGGCTCCACTACGAGGAGCAAGTAAATGGTGGAGAAAAGGAAGAGAAAAAGAAACAGAAGGATGTGGGCACAATAAAGAGAGGCAGAGGTAGAGACCTGAGGGTAGTGAGGAACAGCCCGAAGAGTAGCCAGTATTGCTACCTGGGATGTGGGCGTCCTGGCCTGGCCTGGGTCCATGGCTCTGGAGCATCAGGGGTCTGTTACCACCAAAGGCCAGATGGATAGTCCTGGTCTGAGCTGCCACCTGGGGACATGTTGATGTCTGAGGGCTGTGAAGAACTGGCCTCACCTTTCACCTGAGGGCCTGAGTGCAGCAGAGCCAGCCCTGCCTCTTTTGCTGAGCAGTGGCAGCTCAGATGAGGGAAAAACGCCCTCCTCCCCTCTCATTTGCCTCACTATCTATGGCAGGAGTTAAAGCTGGCCTCTGTGGTCATGGGGAGAACTGGCCCTGTCCCTCACCAGTTGCAACATTAGGAAGAGGCCTTGCACCTCAACTGGGCAGCAGTGTAGCTGCAGATGGGGTGGGAAGGTGACAGGTAAGGGGTGCTTTTGCTGGTGAGCAAGCCCTGTGGGCCTGAGAGCAGAAGAACCAGCAGCCTGACCAGCTCAGATACTACTCAGGCTGAGATCCAGGGCTTTGAATTGGCCCACCCAACATCGACCTCATCAATAAGCTGGTTATCTGAGAGGAGTCCCAGTGAGGTTCCTGTATTGACAGAGTAGCAGATGCCAGAGGCCCCATACCAGACCCATTGCAATGAACACTTCCAAGGAAAGAAGTGTGGACAAAAGTGTCAAACTATAGATTCCACAGATTTTTTTTTTTCTCTGTTGAGAGGAGGCTGCAAGGGGGTAGGGCTGGTACAAGGGGAAGGGGAGATGAGTGGGACTGGGGTACAGGATGTAAAATTTACAAAGAACCAATAAAGTTAAAAAACAAAGCTGGGGGCTAGGGTTGGTCTCTAAAAAAATATCTCTTTAGAACACAGTGAGAAAGACTGCATTGCTAATCCACCAGTGGAGGTTGGAGCCAGGCCTTGACCCACTTCAAAGGGTCATTGGGTACAATCCAATATGATCTTGTGGCCCTGCTCCATGTAATAGTTATGTCTTGACAATAAGGCATTTTCTAATTATTTTAAGGATGCAAAACCAAAATTATGGCACAGAAAATATACAGGGCATTTATATGGGGACGTGGACCACACAATAAAACAGCATGTTTGGAGACTCTAGGATGCCACTGTAACAAGCAGAAGGTGACACACTGTGCTATACTCTCAAAAATCCCGTGGAGCCAGATTCCTGAATACTCTCATGCCTGTAATTTCTGGCAGTTATACAGAGGGAGCACTCTGCACACATGGTGCCCTCTCTTCTTGGGCCCACAGCTCTGGTCCTCTGGCTGTCTGCATTCTTGCTTCAGGTGTCCATTACAGAGGGATGCTTGCTTTGGCATAGTGACCCCACTCCACACAGTGCTCCAGCTGTCTGAAAGGTAAAATGGAAAAACCTACCCAAACTACACTAAATTCTCTCCTAATAAGAAAACATTCAGTTCCAGAAAAGTCTGTCAGACCTGGGACTAATGATTACTGATGATTTACAGTGTAGTTCATTGTATTCTGCCTGATAGAAAACACTAAAGGTACTAGAAAAATATTAGATTCTTTTAAAATGTATCAGATCTGTTAAAAATAACAATACTTAGAAATAAAGCAAGTTTCTTTTTAAAAGACCAAATGTAACTTTCATCTTGGCAGTGCTTTCCAATTCAGCCAACCTCAGGTAAAGCCTGAGGTCTAGGGGACTGTCACATAAAGCAGAGACCTACATATCAAAATTAATATAAACACTCCCATTGGATGCTGGGAAAATGGCCCAACCAAACCTTGCTATTATAAAGCTGAGAAGAGGGTATTTGATAGAACATTTTATCATCAGACATCAAAGTCTCAGAGGCATTACAATCATGACTCACACTAATGGATGCTGCAAAACAGTCTCAGAAAGGATGTCCTATGTTGTTAATGGTCCTGTGAACAGGGATAGGTATCCACTCAGGAGGTTGATGAAAGCAAATATATGTTCTCCTTGAGCTTGCTTTTAACCCATGCCTCAGATAATTCCCTCAGGTAGAGACTGCAGAGATGTAAAAACCATAGCTTCAAACTACACAACACAGAAGACACTGAAGTTACAAAATATAAAAGCCAAATAGTGTGAAATATAAGAATTATTCTAGAATATCAAGTAAGTTCGATGCTTATGTCAAAATGTGAATACAAGACAAGCATGTGGGAAGCTGGGATCAAGGCAGGGATCAGAGCCTCAGTGGGTGGGAAACCAGGCAGATGCTGCTGATGCAGAGAATGAAGCAAAGTGACTGAGGCAAAGAACTTCAGGATGGAGTCCAGAGAGACTAAGACATAAAAATTGTGAAAGACAAGGTTACCAGTACATGTAACACAATTGAGAATCTAACAAACACTACGTTGGAGTGGCAGCAGAGGGAGTAGAACAATCTATGACAATATAATGGTTGAGAGTCTTTAGGAAGTGTTGGCAGACAGCAGTGAAGTGATGGAGGAGTTCAGAAATGCCCAAATTGCATGCTTCAGAAAACCCAGAACATATCAATTACAGTGAAGATGAAGGACATTAAAAAAAAAAAAAAAAGAACCATTCTTCTGAGATTTTTCCTGGTAACATTCTAATAACACTTCATGATATACCCTAAACCTCCATGGTTCTTTACATTAAGTTCCTGTTCTTAATGGCTTTCCCATTAACTCCTACAGCAAACCTTGACTCACTCTTGAACAGTGTGGAAACAGATGATCAATAAAATGTCTACAGAAGACAACATTTTCTTTTCTTATTTAGACTGCTTTATTGCTAGAAAAAAAAAGGTTTCATAAATAGTAATTCTAAGTAACTGCTGAACTGAGTGAATAAAAAGTTGAGTGTTTCTGTGAATCATTTCCTATTCCTCAATGGCCAAATTAGTCATTCTCTCAGCACATTTACCAATTCAACTTTAATCATTGCAATACTGCTATCCCCTGGACCTTATTAACTGACCCCAACGGGCCATGTGACAAAGCTGGGTGCTGAAGAAGGCACTGTTGGAGAGCAGTGGGAATGTGGAGCCTGGTGGGAGGCCTTCACACCATTTAGCATGTGACCTGGAAGGGGACTGTGACCAAAGGAACATGTGCCCTTCTTTTCTCTCTTTTGTGTACCAGACAACATTTAATATCATCAAATGTTATTGCCATGATATCTACTGAATGTACAAATAAACATGGCCAGTGACTCTTGGGCTGAAACTGCTAAGACTATGAGCTGTAGCAACCCTTTCTCTTTAGTAGTTGATGATCTCAGGAATTCATTATAACATCAGGAAACTGACTAATGCAATAGTGATTATGTTTTTTTTTGTTTTTTTTTTTAATAATTGTCTCCTTCACTGCACAAAAACTGGACGGAAAAGGTCAAACAGAACTCCTTCTCTTGATCCTCATTGCCATGCACTCCAACAGAAAGGCAACAAGTGCTTCAAGCCTGACAGCTGACTAAATTAAGAGGATGGCAAGGAATTTGAAATATGAATTCTGCTTTCTTCACACATATTTTCAGGAAACAACAAAGCGAGGCAATGAAAGAGCCAAAACCCAACCTAACCAACCACATAAAGCAGAACTAGATGAATAACGGTGAGTATACATGAGACCTGCTGTCTGAGCCAAAGAACAGTTTCCAATGCTGGGATGTTATATGTAGCATGTAACTGATGAGTTAGACACAAAATTATAAGTGCCACAACAAAATGAAAAAACAAAAAAGGAATGGACTACTATGCTTAAAAATGCTCATGCAGAATAATTTAAAGTGCTGGTCCCCATCCAACCTTATAAAATTTAGCTCTATAGTAAGAGTTCTATTCTGTGCATTACTCTGGCAGAACACTTCTTTAATCTTAACATTGGAAATGGGTGACATCATCTTTACAAAATTACTTGAGGGAATAGAATTAATATGTAGACAACTTATGAATAGTAAAAGCTAAAGATTTCCTTTTAAGTGCTGAACAAAATCAAATCCAGTTTCCAATTATAAGGACAACACTCCACATACATGAGGATCCCATCTGAAATATACACTAAGCTTGTGTTTCCCTGTGGAGGCTTTTCTCAAGTGTCATTCACACTCAACTGCTCAAAATGCAAAAGTGCCAAATTTAATTTTTAGGCCATTTAATTAAGTTAAAAGATTTTTGTTTCTCTTCACTCTAAACAAACAAACAAACAAACAAACAAACAAACAAAAAACAAAACCCAAAACCAAAATGAAAACAAAAAGAACCAACCCACAGAAATTCTGAGTTTTTTGCTTCCTTCCTTCAGTTCAGTAACCGGGCAGTAGATAAAAGAAAGAGGCACAAGCAAACAAGCTCTGCTGAAAAACTGAAGCCAGGCCAAGAGTTCTCCTTCCACTGACTCTGTGAGCAGAGTCCTGGTGAGGGTACAGTTTACTCACTGGTTGGAGGAGGTAGATGAGGGATTCTTCTTGGATGATGATAATCGGCAAAGGAGTAATGTTAGTGGCTTGGAAAAGGGTATTCACAGATGACATGATTTGGTCAAAGCGCCCACCGAGGCCTCCCAGGGTCACGATGACATCAACCTGAGCAAGGAAAGTGAAAGTCTAAGCCATATATTTGAACAATGCGAAACCATGGAAAAGTATCGAATACCTGAACTGTGCTTTCATTGCCATAATAGTTCCTAAGCTAAGAGGAAAGCATGTATCATTTCTGCTGCTATAAGGAGAAACCAAGTTGCTTGTTCAAGGTCACTGAGCTGGAAAGTGGCAGACCTGGGTGTCAAATTTAGTCTATACTGTCTGCCTGTTCACCTAGCAAACCAGCAGGTCTCACTTTAGTTATTCATTCATACGTTTCTTCATGCAGATGACATGATTTATAACATGTCCATACAGTCAAAGCTCATGAATGGTCAGTAAGCAGAAAGGAAGGAAACACTTAATAATGATATTGTGCAAAAACCTTGTGTTCATTTTAAAACTTACAGTAATAATCAAGCTATATAATAGTGGTTGCTTAAAGGACAGTATCTTGGTTGTATGTTTTAAAATACATTGCCTTAGATAATATGCAGTCTGTAAAGATGGCAGGATTTCTGAAAAAAAAAAAATCTATGATAAAAGCACCAAAGAGCCTGTTCAATTCTGAGAGGAATTATAAGTGACATCAGCCTGAGAGACTGTCAGGTGTTTTTGGCTTATTTCATTAATTAATTTATTTAACTATTTCATTTACTCTCTTTAGGCTCTGGTACTTTGCATAGTGACTAATATATATAAGATACTCATGGCCCTGATAACTAAATAAATTTTACAAACACACACACACACACACACACACACACACACACACACACACACGTACACACACCACGAGAGAGAGATATCATTGAAAGAAGAAGTAGATGCACTATCATTCTATGAAGATATAAAAATAATAGTGGGTATTCTAGCAAAACATCAAAATAAAAACTGCAGAGAAGAAATCTGGAGTGAACTTCCTGTTTCTGACCTTATCAGTGTTGGCAGAATGGGGATTTAAATTTGGATAAGTGTTTCATGTTATAGCTTGAGAAGTTTAAAATAGACAATACACACACTGCAGATCCCAGGAGTAGTTTTTACAATGAGTCCTCTACAGTTCTAATAGTTAGATATTGGGTTTAGAGAAACCTAGAAAGTAGGTATCATTTGGATTGAAGCTATGAGTTAAACTTTCGAGTAAAGTGTGAACTCATAAGCAATCTAATATATAGACAGAATCAGCTTCTGTCTGAGTATCAGTTAGGAAAACATTCTACTTGTGCATTACAGCTCTCACTGTGAAGCCTGTTTCAGTCCAGCTGAGTCAGGACTATTTATGACCCCAGGAAAACTACCATCAGTTTGTTTTAAACTGAGGAGAAATGCACTGTCACATTCCCATCCTGTGCCTAAATTCACATGAGAAACTAGGCTTGATGGAAGATTATTCACTATGCAGATTCTTCAATCTTTTTCAGGTTCTCAACTTTTCATTAATACACTTTAGGCCTTGAGGGATCCTATAACCTTTAGGGCTGGAATTTAATTCCCATCTCCTGCAATGGGACAGCATGATGAATAAGTAATATCTGTAAATCAGTCGCTGAATTTTTCAGAAGCAGCAGCAAGATTACTCCTCATCACTACTCATTTTTCCCTACAGGAAGTATTTAGCAAGGCTGATTAAAAATCCCAGAGGACCGTGCAAGCTGCAAGGGGCTCAGGGGGAACAGTTTTCACTACTTCTCAAGTCTGTTCTTCTGGTTCTGAATCAAATGTGGTGTTCAGATGGAGGAAACAGATTTGCAACATCACATGCATATCTCTGTGACAATACCAATGGGGAACTGAGTTTAACCTACAACAGGCTATATGTGACCCATGAGGACAACTTTATTTTGGGCTTCCAAAGCCCCATCTGCTTACTTCTAACATTACCCAGTCATATGAGATCCTTTGATACACATGTATGTCCCTCTGTCCCTCAACCACAGGCAATAATTTTTTTTTTCAATGGAGTAGTCCACAGGGTCCACTGAGGGAGGAGCTAAACATACAAGAACTCAGAGTAAAGCTAATGTTAAGAAACACAGGCAAGAAGCTAACAAGCAGGCTGAGTTAACATGCTTGAATACCTACACAATTGTGCTTCCCTGCTTGACAAAGGCTTTTAGCTTATTTGTAGATTTTTAGGAAACTGAACGTGTGTGTATATACTTCTGTGTGTATATGTATATGTGTGAGAGCAGGCATGCATGCATGCATGTAGACAAGCACACACAGGCCTGAAGTCAGGTGTCTTCTTCTTCTTTTTTTTTTTTCAAAAGAATTATTTATTTAATATATATGAGCATTTTGCCTGCATGTCTGGCACCTACAGGGTCAGAGGAGGGTGTTGGCTCCCCTAGAAATGGAGTAAGGATGGCTGTGAGCTACCATGAGAGAACTGGGAAACAAATCTTATCAGCTTTTCCACATTAAGTTTTGAGTGAGCTGAGCTCATAATTCATAAATATTGACTAGGCTGGCTATGCATATTCATCTCTTTCGGCAAGCTCCCAAACCTGCTCAGGGTTGGGGTTACTATACCATTGTGTTTAGTTTCTGTAGGGCTACTGCTGATCCAAAATCAGTTCTTCTTGCTTACACAGTAAGATGTTTACCCAATGAGCTCTCCAGCATAATATTTAGTGGTATTTGAAAGGCATTAACATGTCACTTTTATTACCTCACATATGCAATTCATAAATTTATAAGTTTCATTAACAAGCAAATGGCAAACAAGAAAGATAGAAATATTTATTGGTCATCCAACATTTGTTAGGAACTATCCCAACAATGTCAATAATGACAAAAGCTCCTTCCTTTACTAGAGTAACAGTGAACTGGAAGACAAAACAGTGCACATATTTTGAAGTGCTACGTAAAAGGTGGTAAATGGTGAAGGATAGAGAAACCTAAAGCCACCAACCAGGAGCTGCGTTATTCAGGTGAGCTACTGCAGACTACATGCAAAGCAGGGGAGGAGGAAACTGCACATATTGAGAAACTTGTAAGGTGGGAGGGAGGTGCTTCTGAGAACAGCCTGCAGTAAGGCTCCAGAGAACACATTAACCCAGGCATTTTCAAAAAGCTCCTAGGGTCCATTTGCTAGACTTGAATGAGAAATCAGCAAATAGAAGTAAAGAAAATCACAAGTCTGAGTGTCAGTTCTGGGTATTTCTCTCCTTGACTCCAGTTTCATGTATCCAGCTGTTTATTTATCACCCACACCTCAATATCTGTCACATAGCAACTGCTCCAGCCCAAACCCACAGAATAATGATTGATGTGTACCTCACATTTATTTATTTTTCCTATAAGTTCTCCTGGCTTTACTACTAGAGCATCATTGGAATCACTACCCACAACTTTATTAGAACCAGGACCAAGCCGTCAACACTTGAGAGGAATGTGAGCCACCTTTATATCTCTCATGAGTTGTAATAGCCTCTAACAGTTACTGCTTCTATCTGTATTGTCCATAGTATCTAAATATAGTATTAAAGAATCTAGCTAAATTGTCAATCATATCATGGCATTCTTCTGCTCAAAACTATCCAACAGATTTACAGTGATTTTTATAAGGGTTAACAATTAACAATGCCTGTGGGCTTTGCTCCCTGTCCACTTCTGTGATCTCACCTCCCCATCTCTTTTTTCTCTTCTCCCCTTCTCCAGTCATACTTCCTTTGTTTCTCTTACCTCATAAACACACTACATACCCTTATTCCAAATACTTTGCACTTGCTGCTCTTTCTTTCTAGAGCACATAATCCCCAGACAATATTTTTTGGGGGGGTTTACTGTCTTTGCTTTACATTTCTATAACCCTTACAATGCTAAACAGTGCTAAACTAATGATGTAGTATTTCTTGTGATCACTGCCAGAAATAGACTATACTTAATTTGAAGGTAGAATCTTTCTATCTCTAGTACTTAGAATAAAGTGTGGCACATAAACAGCCAGTAAGCACATGCTGAACAAATGGATGAGTGAAACAAGCACAGAATGGCAGTAGAAGAAAATGGTCAACAGATCTAAGTGCTGAAGGGAAGGAAGAATAGGACCAGGGTACAAGTGGAGATGGATAAAATAGGGATTATGGGGAGTTTTAAGTTGTGTTATAGACACAACTAAGATACATATATGTGGAAAAAACTGAGTCACTGTATTAAAAAGATAAAGGAGAGTTCAAAGAAATAAGATGTAGGTATAATGGAAGGAGCATTTGAAATACATGGAATTTACCATGAATTACACAATATTGTTGACAAATATTATTGACAAAAGGGTTGGTAATTGAAAAGTTAATGTCACAAACATAACAATGAGGGCTATTAGCAATAGGCAATAAAAGAAACTATCTAGTGATATTTCTCTATGGCTTCAAATTTCAGTGACTTATTTGTATTTCTGTTTCACATAATTATATGTTTATAACCACATATATACACATAACAGCAAACACTGTGCTCTCTTTTTTAACACAGCAAATATGAAAAAATTAAACAATCTTGATTGATTTGTATGTATCTCCTGTCCTCAGGTCAAGATAATTTACAATGAACTTATTAGCTATCAAGAAATGTGATGGTAATAAAACTTGTCTTTAGCTTTTCACAGGTCATTATATTTAGAAAAACCCTGTCTCAAAATCCTCTGTTACAACAATGACCCAAGCACAGTTATCTACATTTGAATAGCTAGCTAGCTCCATGTGTGTCACATGACTCTTTGAGCTTTCCTTGAGGGTCTGAACCAAATTTACCAGGACGTTTTTTCAAGATTCTTTTTAATACTTTTCTCTGGTAAGGTTCTGTGTTTTTTTTTTTTTTTACCAGGGTAAGTCAAATAGTAGTGGAAGCTATTTTGTTTTGAAAAATGAGTGAAGAACTGGGCTCTGCTTTAAAGGTCTGAACAGAGCCATGAAAGGCTGGCTGAAGGGCGGGTTACACCAAGGGAAGAAGCAGTTTGACTTTTCCATTAAGGCAGTAAAAGCCTTTCGGGAACCAAA